TCTTAGTCCGTACATGAAAGTGAATAGTGACTGAGGTTGTCAGTCCCTATAGCATTCTGCCTTTTGTGTTCCACGGAAAGAAGAAAGTCGTGCGGGTTTGGAACAATATGAAATTGATGTTCTCGCTTTAGGTTGTAGGTCAATGGGACGGTCCAGAAACATGCAGGTTACCTTGGCAGGCCTGCAGGGCTGCAGTGATGTCAGCATCATTCAGAATTCCAGCGAATGCCATGATTAGCCTAAAAATGGCAGAGGTGTATATAATGGCATTTGAATGTATATAAAATGACACATATACATATATTTCAATTGAATTAAAAAAAAAAAACTTCATAATACTCCATCCATATAACAGATCATCAGAAATGATTTGCTCCCATAGGACTGGTAAATGGTCAACAGTAGTCATATTAATTGCATATGTCTTTAACCACACAGTGTGTTATGATAAATCCCACCCAGTCCTGGCGTAATCAAACCGTTTAATAAAGTGCGATATCCCAACACGTCCAAACTCCAAGACACAAGTTATTCCCACGCCAGGTGGCCGAGACTTAATAGATCAACACATCCTCTCCAGATCAGCCAGGAGTCATATGGCCGTTGCTGTCTGTCGTTTTTCTTTCTTCCTTGCAAGATATTGTGAGCTCTTGTAGCTTCATCTGTGAAGACACTCACCTCTGGTTGTCTTTAGGGGTTGGGTTTGGATTCGCAGGGATGAAACTGGCAACTGCAGTGAGCACCAGCTCCGTGGCTTCCACCTTATATACCACTACTCAACCGAAATATAAGGCATAATGTAATGGACACCGCATGACGGGCAGTTGGTTGAAAAACGTGTCCAGTAGTCAGGCTGTTCTATTTATATGCACTTAAATGAAGATGCTTAAAAAGGTACGTATGTATAAGTCCTTAATATCAAGTCGGCTAATAATATACGATGCTGATCTGGATGAAAGCGCTTTGTATCTGAAGAGTTTAGCTCATTTTGTCTCGAGAGAAACAGAGTGCGCTCTACAGTTGTGTGACTGAAGCAAATCATCTCACGCTTTGGAGCTTCAAGAGGAAGCGCGTGAATCACAAACGAGCCCATAACACTTTTTTCAGTCCTTACTTGTTTTCTTTGGAAATATAAGGTGAATGCAAACTCACAGGGCGGTTTTATTTGACATGAACATATAGGCTAGTCGATGGTTTTAGCTGTTTTTTGGATTTGAGCTTTTCTTGACCACTGCTTGCTTGCCAGCTTATTTGAAATACATTCATTAAATCGATAGCTAGCTATTGTGAATTAGACCAATGATAAAATAGCATCTGACTTGAATTTGAACCTTGTTTACAGAGAAACTTTGTATTGATGATTATGTTTAATGAAAAGGTCGCTAAGCCTTGGACTTGACTTTAATTGATCAAAACGGTCTTTTCTTCTCTGCATTTCTTGCTCCGTAATCTAATTGTCTAATAAACAATTAGAAACAGTTATTGTCTAATAAACTATTACAAATGCCATATTATGTCTAATAAACCTGGTATATCACGCTTATTGTTGGCTCTTTGATGCACTGCTTTTGTTCCTCTTTTGTAAGTCGCTTTGGATCAAAGCTTCTGCTAAATGCATAAATGTAAATGAAAAGAAATCAAAATTCTCAAATATTAACCTGTTTGGTACTGATACCCAATACAGCCACTCGCAAATCATGATATAAAGATCTTAAAATGAATAGGCTACCATCTCTAATATTCAGTCTCCCATAATAATGGCAGGTGTATTGGGGACAATGTATATAATTTATAATATTTGATTTGAATATTTTTGAAACATTTTTTTTAGCATTTATTTAAGTTATGTAAGTAAGTAAATAAATAGACAAAGCTATTTCAAAAGAGCTAATCCTTTACAATTAGATTTCTATTTACAGTAAGATTTCTATGAAATATTAATGACACTAGGCTATAAGACTATGTCTACCATAGTTTTTAAAAATCTGAATTATTATTATACTATGCTATTAGATAGAGTTTGTGCACAGTCATATATTAGCTTTCTTTGGCTATATGAGATATTTCAATTTAATACTGTGTTTCAGTGGTATAGCAATTACATAGAACTGTGTTATATACACTCCAGCATTCAGAGAGTCAGCTTCTGTGCTTTGCTTCAGTCGAGTTGTGTGTGATACACCTTTGGGATCTGAGTATAAAGTGACATGCTCACTCAGTCACTGAGAGCTGTAAGGGATGCCTGTAGCCTGCACAAGGTTCAGTAGCTCACTTTCTGTTGATTGTGAGGGCATTCATTTGAGCATGTGTACAAATCTTCATGGTGATTCCCTGTGCTGGACAGGGATCATTACATGTTTGTATTTAAAAATTGCTTATATATATATATGTCTGTGCTTCCTCCACATGTATCACTTATGCTTATACACCATGGAATCTTAACACTATCCATGCCAAGATATTCCTGACTTTTCAAACAGTTTTAACACTGGAAATGTTCAAATTAGAATTTCTTCAGTTCTTTTATATGTAAAATTCAGAGGAAGATATTGAACAGAGAATGTTGTTTTAAATCGAATGTATTTTTATTTCCTTAAAGTGCAAAAGAGATTGTAAGTTTGCACAAAGAAGGTTTTTTTTTACAGAACAATACAATGCAATGAAACAACATTAATAATAAATAGCTTTTCAAGACATTGAACGTGCGTTGTTTGAATGGAGGAGTTTGCAGGGCATTCATAAATAAATATAAAAAAGATGATAGGTAAGCAGAGCTCTGGTTCCAAAGACAAGGGTCCATGAATGCTTAGGCCTTTACAAGCAAAGCAAACTCTGTGGAAAGACATTCATAAAGACAAACAGTTAAAGTCTGCCACTGTTCATCTTAACAATCCATTCAGTTCAAGCAAGTTAAAGTTAGAGGTACCTTCTATCTCGACATCATTCAATCATTTATAGGCTACTACATATGACAAAACTGAACAATAAATGATGTTTTTTTTCATGAAGATTTACTGCACTTTTTATTAGGTCTATTGGGTCAGCTAGTTGGTTTGCTGACCTGCTTTAAATATAAATATAAATGTAGCTACAAAATCAAGAGCCATAAAAGATGACAAATCAGTTAATGTTAGGACTTATTAAGCAAGCATTGAAAATGTTCTGTAACAAAAAGTTTTAAAGTTTGATTGCATCACCAGAATTCATAGTTTAACCATATATTATCTTGTTATGTGTTGTATCCTCAGTGCTATAAAGTCATAAATATTATGAATATGAGATTAAGTACCATCAACTCCGATTTTGCCGTCACCATCGCTGTCACCAGCTGAGAGGAAGGCCTTGGTCTCAGCATCAGTCAATGCCCTGGCGCTAGCGGAGAAGGTCTGCAGGAACAGTCTGGGAACATTGAGGAGAATAAAAAAGAACATTAAGAAATATGCCTATATAATATAATATAATAAATGCAAAAGAATGAGTTCAATAATTCGAAGTATGTTGCGTTCGTACTTCAGCTCATCCTCCTCAATGAAGCCGCTCTTGTCCTGGTCGATGACGAAAAAGGCTTTCTTAATGTCATCGGGAGTCTTTGCGCTCAGGCCGACCTTGGCGAAGAAGTTCTTGTAGTTGAAGGAGTCAGCAGCTGGAATTACATAAAATAGCAACCATATTAAAAATCAGTAAATTAAACAATAATCTTTTTTTTTTTTTCATAGCAGATGTGTCTTACCAGCGCAATCCTTAAGAGCTGCAGCCACATCCTCGTCCTTGAGAATTCCAGCAAATGCCATTTTGATTTTTCTGGAAATTAGACCCAAACAAGATGATGATGCATTAAGATGCATAAAGCTTTCTGTCATTGAATTTGGACTAAAATAGTGTAACATCACATTAACTGGAACATTTAGTGTAATTTCAAGTAACCCCTTTCATAATCCCTGTCAATTCTCCCATTAGAGTTAAACTTCTTCCTACAGTGAAAAAGCTCATGTGAGATTGCCAAATGAAAAACACACAAAAAAAATAATTTAACAATCATTTCAAGCTCATCCAAAAACCCAAGAAAGTAAGCAGAAAGTATGGTCCTTGGTTTGGTTAATTGAAGAGATGTACTTTCACAATTTCAGTCCTGCTGCAAGTCCGTTTACATCCTTATTTTATTCCTCCATTTCCCGTTAATTATATTCCTTGGTGATTAGAGAAATTCATCGACCCCTGGTGTATGATCCTCAAGGTGTCTCTGGTAAACTCACCTTTGCGCTGCGCTGGCAACTGTTCCACAGATGTGTGACGACTACCCAAGCACCCATGAGCCTGGCTTTTATACTTTTGTGTCTGTGGTTGTAACATACACCATTAGCTTAGGCTAGGTAAAGTTTAAAAAAAAAAGTGTCCACTAGTCATATAGCTCTATTTTTATCCTTTCAAAAAGGGGATGCACTGAGTCCTTATGGGAAACATAGGTGGGACATCCTAGCACACATACTGTATGTTCTAAGTTTTTGCATGAAATGTGTGCAATGTCATTTATATGTAAAGTAATTCCTTGCACCATAATTCTCATATTTAAAAAAGTTTGTAATATTTTGCCCATTCAGCCTTGGCTTGTACTGTCATCATTTGAAACCATTTACCACAGCCTAATAATTTATTTGTTTATGAAGTTCAGTTCAGTAAATCCAGTAGGAATTTAAGACTTATCTCATTAGGATTCTTTATTATTATTTGCAAATTATTATTTAATTTGATTTAAGATATGTTTCACCAGGGAAATGTCTTAAGAATATTTGTTTTTTTCTTGAGGAGGAAGGGGTGGGGGGTGGGGCTCAAAACCATTTACAGTTTCTGCGCCATATATATTCTACACATGCAGTAAGATGATGCTAAGCAGATTCTGGGACAGCTGGAGGCATGAGCAGGAGCAAACGTTTCAGAGTTTCAGATTACTGGCAGATATGATAAAACACTTATGCTTTTGTCTCCAAAGGAGGCTGTTTCACTCAACACCTCAATGAATAGGCCTCAGTGTATTCAACATTGTGATGACTGGTGCACAAAAATGTCAAAAAGTATGCAAAACAATTCAAATTTCTACTCCAGTGATTACAAATACTGCAGTACTTTACACGTCATTGTAGTTTTAATGTGTTAGCTTGTTTACCCAACAGCTGCAAAAATATTTTAGTTCACAATTCACAAACAAACAAATAATAAATAAAATTAAAGATAAAAAAAATCTATTCGGGATGTCTTATTTGCAATATATACACAATACACATGCAAGAAATATTGTTAAAATATTTTTATTTTGTGTTACTTTCTCTTGTAGAAGTTCATACAACATTACAGTAAGACATACAAGACAGAACACAATCCTGCACAATTCAGACCCCAGTGGCAAAACCTTTTTCTTTGCCATGTTTGACAGTCACAGCTGGTCTCAGGAAGCATTAACAAGGGCTGAAAATTCTACAGGAAATGAGGAGATGTAGTTTAATCTCTTACTTTTATGCATTACTTATCATATTTTTAAAATATCTGAATATTTTAGATACCAATCTTCCCAGCCGATTTTCCCATCCCCATCCATGTCTCCAGCCATGAGGAAGGCCTTGGTTTCAGCTGCTGTAAGTGCACGAGCCCCTTTAGAAAATTTCTGCAGAAACAACCTAGAAAATGAGTCACAATACAATAAGTGAACATGTTGAGTATTCGGCTGAAGTGCACTCATCCAGGTAACTAAAACCGGCACTACTTTCAAGTCTCTTGTAACACACAGTGGGCACTCTCTCTGCTTTGTTTTACAAATGTGTATCAATTATCATTTGTTTTGAAAATGAAGTCAGAGGACTATTCTTGTAATATTGTTTGTCTTGTTACTACCAGTAACAAGAATTGTACTGTAAATGCATTATCTTTTTCTTAGTGGAATGCTTTAAGATAAGAGAACAGTTTCAACTCAAATCAATATTTCATGCCCACATAAAAAAAAATTATTAGATATGTAATAAGCTGAATGACTACACAATCCCTAGCTTATCACACAGGTTTGTACAACTCAGTTTTTTAGTTAGTCTAGCTGCCCCATAAACATGTGAAAAAAGTAATTTGGCAAATCACTCAACTGTAGCTCATCCTGTTCAATGAACCCACTCTTGTCCTGGTCCAACATTTTAAAGACCTTCTCTATCTCAGGAGGAGACTTCTTTGACAAGCCTACTGTTGCGAAAAAAGTCTTTAGGCTGAAAGAATCCTTTGCTGCAAGAGTCAAATAAAAAAAATACAAATTACAAAGCTGAAAATCACAATGGATATTCTAACAAAATAATAAAGAATAACACTTTTCTGACTAACTCTCATAGTAATATTCACAGAGGTGAATCTGAAGTATTGTTCATCTGAGCGTCACTCATACTTTACCTTTACATGCATTAATGGCAGTTGAAATATCAGAGGCAGCCAAAAGATCTGTCATAGTCATTTCTCAATGGATCTGAGGAAATTCCGAGGCCTCTACTAGCAACAGTATCTTCACTGATTATAACAGCAAAACCTATAGTCTTAACATCACTACATGATGTCAAAAACCACCAGTGTCTGTATGTCAGCTGCAGCTGTGTCCTTTACACCACCTGACCTCTCCAGGACACAGAAGTATATCCCATTGTAACTGTTACTCGAGTAAAGCACCTCACAATCTATTGGATTAAACAGACAAACACACAAAAAAAAAATCTTATGATTTATAGTAAATGTGATGTGTTGCTAAATATCAGCGGGTTATATTTGGTTCAATCATTATGTTTCATTCTCTTAAAGTGAATAACTTTGTAAACATCCTGTTATTGCTTCACTGTCATTATTGGACGTGTGCCTTCACAATATGATTTAAAGGCAGTAGCCGTGAAATAGATTCTGTGGAGAATTTTGCTCAGAAAAAGGCCGAAGGCTTGATCATAGTATTGAAGCACAATATGATGAAGTCCACCTGTTTTCGTGTTTACGTGACTTTACCGATAGCTTTGTCTTTGCACACGTGCTGATCTACAGCAGACGGACTGTGTGCGGCTGTGACATCAGATTCACTTCCTCCACAGGCTCTTTTCCTGAGGATGGACGTCTGCCTGCCTGTGTTGCTGCCAACCAGGGGCCAAAGCAATGACAAAAACATCCTTCCAGCCCATTACCTGCCCCTGTGACCTTGTCCCGCTCCATACTACCTCTTGTTTGCAGGAAGGCCATGTTTCCTGAGTGACAGGGATTTGAGGGGGATCGGGGTTGGGCTTTTCATATTCTCAATAACAGTTTTCTTTGTCTTTGTTTATATGTTACATCAGGTGCACTGAAGAGCGTCTGGAGCCATATGATATTAGAAATGCTTTTTAAATGGACAGAGAAAAGATTTTACCTGGTGAGTTAATGTGATTTAGAATATACCATTAGTTGGTATAATATCATATTTGTACATTTGAACAAATAGTAGAAAATATTAAATGCCTTGCTTTTCTTTGAGTCTTGTTTTAAGAACAGCCTTAATGACTGTGTAAATGTGTATTTCATGACAAGGGCATTGCTTTTGCTGCTTTTGGACCAAAATAGTGTGTTTAAACCATAATGGTGCTTGTTCATTGCTGGAGAGTGTATATTCCCTCTTTTATGGAATGTATGGCAACTCTTTTTAATAACTGAACATGTTGAGCTGTTGTACCTTACTTACCCCTAAAAGGTGCATTTTAGTCGCCTTAGAAATGTGTACCCTTAAAGTACTACTAGAAACCTTTTTGTGTAAGGTGATGTACCTAAAAGTAAGGATTTTGCAATTTTTAGGTAGCTGATGCTTTGGGGAAATACTTCTGGAAAATGACATTACTTTTAATAATGATTTCCACATGCATTTTGTCACACAAATGTATTTGTCACATCAAAGGACCATTTAAAATAATGATGGTGGATCCTTCATGGTTCCCTTATACCTTTAGGGGAACGGGTGCCTTTCAAAATTAAAATTCTGTTAATATGTACTCAAAATTAGATATTTTAAAAGAAGTTTATTTAGTCATTTAGTTGAAACAGGTGAAACATTGTTCAAAATATTCTCTCTTGTGTTTAATAAAGTCATACGGGTTTGGAAATGAAGGTAAATGGTGTATTGGTAAACAGAATTTTTATTTTTGTGTGAGATATCCTTTTAAATTTTGATGTTAAGATGCACACTTTATGCACCAATTACCCATGTATTCGTTTATTCCTTTTGGTTATTTTCACTAACATTCATTAAATTTGTCAGGGGGTTGTTAAAAGAAATGATTATTAAGCTGATAAGTGAGCCATGTGTTGCAATTACTGTATTTAAATCATTACATGTCTGGAGCACACCCTGTTTTATTTTGAGACGCTTTTTTCCATGCCAAGGTTCTCAGTAACAGGCTGAGATTTCTTACTAAGTCTCTCTTGATAGATTTACAACTTGTCTGATGTATCATCAATTGCTCTTGACGTGCCAACGGCATTGTCATCAGAGCATTAGACGTATACAATGAGGGACTCTCAGGATGGGAATACCTTTCAAAAGCTGTCCCTAATTAAAGCTGATTGTGTGTATCATAAGCGAGGACACAGATTGTGCTGTTCCCCGTCTCTCGGGTTTAGTTGCATCTCTGTCTATTTCCAGCTGACCAGCTGTGATGGAAGCATGCCGATGGGACTCTCAGATTTAGTCAAGACGACCGCCTCAGTTTCAGTTCCTGCCCCTCCTCTTCCCTAGCATCAATCACTCAACACCAAGTGTGTGTGTGTAGGTTGGAATGTTTGTGTGTGCATGTATGGACACCCTGAAGTGACCTCGGCCCAGATCACATCATTAGCCGTAAATCTGAAGGCTCCCACAAAACAAACACATTTAGAGCACATTTGGGCATTCTTCCTCACCGTCTGATTTACACACAGATGAAATGAGGTCTTACACAACACCTGTCTCTCCGATCCCACGATTCCCCCTTCACGTGAGTGATGTGGCCATAGACTGCCCCACTTCCATGTCTGTGAAATACACGAAGGCGCTAATTGAGCAGCCTAGGCTCAGCCTATCAGGCTGCGAATTCCCCTTGTGCTGATCGTTGATATGCCCCTTGGGGGCCTGTAAATGTGGCAAGAGTCCAGAGAGAGTCCTGGACCTGCACAATGAGATCATGCACCAAGATTTGGAACAGTTGTGTAACGGCACTCACGTATCATGCCACAGAGTTGGACACTTCACACTGTGGATCTCATGTACTCTTTATCCAACAAAGCCTGTGAGCAGTTGGTTTCGTGCCAATGAAATTTAGAAAAGCCCCCACATGAGCTCCCGGTCTTTTCCATTGCCATGCTGACATGCAGAAAGAGTCCTTGCAAGCTGTTTGTGACTTACTTAAAAGGACAATTCACTCAGATATTAGAATTCTGTCATCATTTATTCACCCTCAAGCTGTCATGGAAAACAGACAAAATAAATGTTTTTATCCATACAAATAAAGTCAATAGTGTCCAAAACAACTTTTGTCCCCATTGACTTTTATTGAATAGACAAAAACATTCTTCAGAATAGTCTATGTGCTATATTCCATAAAGCTGAATAGATCAGTATTCAGACTGATTATGAATGGATTATAAATGCCATAAGTGATATTTTGATGACCTGGGTTTAGTGCTGAGAGTGTTCTGATTCTAAAATGAGATGGCAATGCAAAAACAAGCTTCTCAAAAACAGCTAATAATGATTTGTAAACATTTTAAAATTGCTTAGCGGCTGTGCTTAGCACACAAATGAGCCAATACTGATCGTCAACTTAGCAATGTTAAAATAACAATGCTTGTCTCCTTTTAAGCTCACCAAACAGATTGCACCCTCATGGCATTATGGGAATTGCTGTTTGCGTGTAAAGTCACACCATCTGTTGTTTGTGGAATGCTCTCCATTGCCAGTTTTGTTCTTAATGATTTTAAAGAATGCTACAACTTTTAGCATAGCGCTAACTGTGAAATGTGCTATACTGATCAGTCAGTCTGTTAAAGTGGTTCCAAGTATCTTTCACTAAGTGAGTTTTGGGGCTTCCCTGAGCTGCCACAGCCTGGCTCTAGTTTTATGAGTATTACAGTATCTCTTGGATGGACTTCACACTTAGCAGAAAGGCTACATACAGCTATGACATTGGATACAAATCTGGCATCGCATTTTTATTGCATTTCATCCTGTAAATGTTTTTTTCCCCTTTCTCTATTTTGAGATCACGTACATTTTCTCAGCCTGGTACAGATCTCATCCGGCAGTTTTAGTGCTCCAGTAAGTGAGACGTCAAAACAGGTGACATTTTTCTTTGCATAAACTCAATCCTGTAAACACAGAGAAGAGGGGAAAATAGAAAGTCCCAGTGAGTAAAACATACTAGTATTTAGAGATTATAGGGCAAGGGTTGCAGATGTGTGATCCAACACTTTAGACTCAATATCAAAGTTGAATAAAAGTTTTTATTATATAGGATTCATTTTGATCTTTAATTAAAATATTCACATAATTTATCTCATTCCAGGTCTTTCTTTCTTTATTGCCATACCTTCCTATATCACACCATTCAACAGACTAAATGAAACTAATGATCTGATTAGCATTATATCATGTAGTAATGTGAGTTAACATGCTTCATGAAAGTTATTAACGAAACTCACAACAAGATAAAGTAGTAAGATCCAGATGATTTCAGTGATTTATGGGTGCCTTCCAAAATACCTGGCGTTCTATTTATTTAGCAGATGGTTTTCTGTGTTTATTCTCATTTTATATAATTTCTTGGGCATATATAATTTATTTAGCATAAAAGCAGCTCAGAATATGTGCATACTGTAATAGTCTTTCTGAATAAACTGATTTGTGGAATATCAAAAAAAAAAAGTAATAATTTTCTTGGTATGTCCTTTCACCCACAGGACCTGTAAACCTGATCCACGACTGCAGAGCAAAGGCAGGCAGACTGCCGAGACTGACAGAGCTTTTTTTATTTTTAAATTATAGTGACACAGCATATAGAGAAATCTACCGAACATCCCTGCCCATGTATGTGCAATCACCTGGGTAGCTAAACAGAAATAATCTAAAATAACTTGTATTCTGCATCCACTGTCAAGTTGTATTTGAAATCTTTGAGCCACACGTGAAGACACTTCACCTTAGGATCCACTATGACCACTTGCCGCACAATTGAATATTAAGGTATTTGTATTTTAAATATTTTATTTAAATGGCAAACAACCAACATCTCCTTCAAATTACTGTTTGATCTAATCAGGGTAGGATTTTGAAAAATATTGTGAATTTTGTAGCATTACTGTTTTTTTTTTGTTTTTTTTTACAATGTATTACAACAACAGAATTTAACATACAACTTTATTATAAACATAGCTTATACAAAGTTAGGTATTTTGGGCTCTGAAAACATTATGTCAGATAACATGTTCATCCTCATGCA